TAATATTATCACAACATCTCCACTATTGTTACCAACGCAAGCCCAATTTTATCTGTTGGACTAATATTATCACGACTTTTCCTTTTTGAGCCATAAATTTGCATCTATTATATTAGGAGATGTTGCTAAGACGATGATCAATTCCAAAGGGTGCCCATTTTTGTATTTGGTACCCAGTAAATGGTAGCACCATATTTTGCGTGTCTGGATTCACTCAGACATGTATGACTGTATTGATGACAATGGAGTTTAAAATCAACTAGCAAGTCTGACCAGGTTACCGGTTTTAGTTATAGTTGGCATTTTAAGTTGTGTTTCTATTGACAATTTAAGAGTGAGAAAGGAAGCAGAAGGCGTGAATTCAGGATCTGAGATCATGAATCTAACAGCTAGTGCCACCAAGCCTGATGTTGGATGCAGTCTCTTGTACTAGTCTGTTCTGAACCGAAACTTATATCTCCAGATAGGGTTGATTCAGAAATGGTGCAGCTTAGTTTTCATTTTTACACTTCTGACTTCACGTTGTGCCATTTCATGTTCTTCATTCCGGGAAATTCACATTGAGATCAAATATGACAGGTATTGGTGAGATTATTCGTCTTTAGAATCCAGGAAATTATCTATGCATAATGATCGAAATTGTTGATTGGTGATAATATAAAGTCAATAGCTCTTTTAGCAAAAGAATAAGATTTTTTGGCCGCATTTAAGATATCTTTTTTCCTTGGGCACATACAGATTAGTGGAACTCTATCTGGTGGACTTGCATAGTGTGCTGAAAGTTGGTAAATAGCATAAATGGACATTATTATACGAGTGTGTTTATGTGTTTCCAATGCAGCAATAATTCAACTATGAAAATGAGTTGATATCCCACAGTTGTAATAACAAAAAAAACCTTGGGATGACACGTAAAATAGACAAACTTAATCTTGCAGGTTATAAATTCGACGAGCATGACCGTGATTCTGTGCGTCTAAGGCTGCAATTTGCTCGCTACCCTGGTGCAAGGTCGGGTGGCGGGCATCGTGGAAAACGCTGAATTATGCAGCTACAGGTGATACGTGATACACTCGATGCGCTTGAACCCTTAATGTTTATGGCCACTATGTTTTGTTAGATATAGTGGTCATTAAAGCACACTAAATAATGGAACAACGCTTGTATGTAGGACCTACCACGAGAGATGATACGATGCCTTGGACTTTTGCGAATTACATCGTTTTCCAAATGGACGCTTTCCCTAGGTCCAGCTTGAATTGGGTGGGTTGCCGTATTTGAGTGGTGGCTGCTGATGTCTTAAGAGCGTGTTAGCGTTTTCTATTGCTGTTGTTTTTCGTCTCAAAATCTGGTATCTATTCTGAAGTTGGAGGGCATGCGGGATAATGTTATAGGTCATGGCAGATGATCCTTATCCTTTTGGCCTTCAAAATATAGGAGACTCTTATACAAGTTAATGTAACACTAAGTGCAATTTATTTAGTTTACTATTGTGCTACATGATGGTTTTTAAGCTTGTTTACTGAATCTGTGCTTGATGAGCACTATAGCTATTTCACCCTTTTCCTTCTTTAATTCTTTTTTTTTTAAATTACGATGACGCAACAGACTATTCATTTTCTGCCCTAGTTCTTTGGTTCACTTTATATGTCAACGTGTTTGTGCCCTCTACATCCTTCACAGACATTTGGAAAATCTAATGCAAGCATAAGCCGGACTGCATTTTGTAGGTTTCTTCTGGAATTGAAAACATAATACCTTTGGAATGATACCTTGAATTCATTAGCTTCTTATCAAGAATTGGAATGATAATGGAAGGGTGTTAGGTGCCCCTATCAATGCTATTTATGAAATTTTGTTAAAAGAAAATAAAAGGATGGTTAGAGAGAGGGAGAGCTGCATCTTGGCCATGCATTAATCACTTATTTGAGTTGAAGATTAGCAACTTGTGCACGTGTGATGCACTTCCCTTTGATATGAATCCAAAACAGTCCTGCATGTGCGTCACTCTCTATTAGGAGTTTCTGCACATTTTTCAGTTCTTGAAGTGGAGAAAATGCCGTCTCCTGCTGTAGCAAGATGCATTTAATTGACAATGTTACTCCAATGTCATTTGGATTGAAGAAGCTCTACCTCTATCGAAATGAGGAAGCTCCTAATAGACCTTATCTCTGGGCAGGAAATCTTGCTATGAAAGAACACCAACATAACTGCGTTAAAATTTGACATAGATCGTCTTAACATTGACTTCTTGCAGTTAGTTTGCACTAGGGACATTGTCAACCATGCAGCGCTGTGCTGTATTCTCGTTTCACTCAACCATCCATGTTCAATGATGACATAAGTTTTTCCAAAGGAAAATTTTTCCAATACCTTAGATAGGATTCCTTATCTTGAACTGTATAATTTTAGAGCGATAAGCAGAATCTTGTATCAATGATGGGGATTGAGAAGATTTTCAAAACTAGTATACTTGTTATGGTATTTGTGCATCTCTTTGCCCTTAGTTGTGCCGCTAATGTGGTGTGGTTTTAATTGCTTTTGGAAGCATCATAGACTTTGGTTGCCTGGCCATACCTGCTTAATGGGATGTAAAAACTTCATGATCTGCTGATTTGCTGATTGCTGTCTTTCTTGGTGTTCTGTTTGAGCCTTGTCTGATGCAAGGCATATCTTGATTGTACATCTGAATTTCTATTCACTCGCGGCTGTGGTAATTGAGCTACGAGCATTTTCATGCTCGAGATTCTCTTGCTGATAATGTTGAAGGGCCCACAGTGCTTGTATCAGATACGTTGGATTTGGCTTTGGAATTTTGGAACAGTCAATATTGGTCTGAAAGTTACTTCTGAAAAAGGAGGACATGGAATGTGGAACAACTTCTCAGATTTTTAGTTCTTTCTGTTTAGCTAACTGATTTTCATTGTTGTTGTGCTGTGGATGTGGAATGCAGACAAGCAAAGCATCTAAGTAGTTTTTGTTTGGCTGTAACCTCATGTTGGATAAAATGAACCTGATGGAATGTGAAAAAAATTTTCTGTTTTTTTTTAAATGAAAATTGTTTAGTTAACTGATTTTAAAATTTGTGGTGCTGTGGTCCTCTGGAAGTGGAATGCAAACGAGCATTTAGAGTCTTTGTCGATTTGATGTTCTTGTCAGCTACAAACCTTTACTGATCTAAATGTGCTCAAGCTGCAGAAGGCGGATCAACTGAATCAAAGTTTGACCTTGACAAATTTTAATTCGTGTTTGGCTCTTTTAAGACTCCTGATTTCTTTTCCTCCAGTAATTTATTCAAAGCTTGAATAGATTGGCTTTCTGCCTTGGTCATGAGCTTGAGATTGTTCAGAGTATGCCTCATTCTGTTCCTTCTGTGTTTTATTCTTTTTTCTTTGGAATATGCTGTCAGTCAACCGAAAAAAAAAGAGCATATGATGTTTATGTTCACCGGATTTCAGGTCGAAGTTGATTTTATGATGAGAACATACTTTCAGATTTTAGCACTCGAGCATTTCTTCCTTTCGCCTTGGTTTCTTGGTTTTATAATAATAGGCTATGTAAGGATGGTTTTTGAAATCAGTTTAACCTTTGCCTCTATAAATTAGCACAAACAACTGGATGATCTATCAAAAAAATTAGGGTTATATGCAAAAAACCCACACAAATTATATACCCAACTGCAGTTTACCTCCTAAACTATAATAATGGGCATTTTGCTCCCTTGAATGATATGTTTGAACAATATTGTCCCTGCTATCTTAAATTCTTTTTTTTTTTTCTATTAGCTTTTTTCATTTTTTTTTTCCTTTTATTTTCTTTTTGTTCTCGTGGAACTAGATAACGTCTCTCTTCGATGTGAAAAGACTTTTTGTTTTCCTGGTACGTGTGAAAAAGAAAGATATTTTCATAATTAAAATTCTCGCAAGCTTTGGATGATCATGCTAAACTAGGCGAAAGAAATTGAGGGAACCCCATGCTACTCGAACGACGACGACGACCAGGAATTAATATGACCGACCACATTAATATTTTGTTTGGACGGCCATTATTTAGCCAAAAATTATTTGCTTGCATCATAAATATAATCTTTAACACATCTTTTTATTTCATTCACAGCACATCACAAAAAAGTGATATAATAATTATTTCAAATAATCTTCTGTCCAAATAACAGAGTAGTAATTAGTAAAGTACATAATTTTCCGGGTAAAAATTTCTGTGAAATGTAGTCAGGTGAAGCCAATTTCCCTGAGCATGAAATCTTCATTAATCATTTGCAGTGTTATCTTTAACGTCATCCAAAACCCGAGGGGAGAGGGGCCTATTTGGAGTGCTTCATTTTTTCCCCAATTAAATTGTTAATAGTCCATATGTCTGTAAATGATATTGTATGATTCTACAAAGAACACATTCAGTTTTTTCCCCCCTTTAATAACGATAAGAAAATTTCCCCCCCCCCCCAAAAAGAGTCTATAATATCATTTAAGTTCTCCAAGAATGTGCAAATTGGTCTACCAATTTCGAGTAAATCTTGGGTTATATACGAATTGAGACTCGTGTATAATTTTGTTTGGATAATTTTTTATACACTCTCAGTATATAATTTTTATGTTGGTAGATTTAAATCATTGCTATATAATATAAATTTAAATTTAAAATTTAAATCATGCACATGTAAGCGTACATCCAAAGCTAAGTTGTCACTTAATCCATTTTGTTTTAGTGTGTAATTTTGGGTTATCTATTAATTGATATATCCTTGTGAATTCGGGCCACTCTAGTTACGGGTCTGTCCAATTACCTAATAAATTAGCACAACAATAGTAGTAAATTTTGCATCAACTCATTTATAATTCAGGTTTACATCGAAATTCTACGGTTGACATGACTGGAGCTGGTGATTCCCATTTCCTATCCTTGGAGGTTCCATCCCAGAAAACTTGTAATAATAAATTTGATCTGTAAGAATAATTGAACTAATAATTTTTGTTCTGGAGTGGACAGAATCTGAAATCTAAGCCGCTAAAATTAGTTAGAGGTGAGGCTTCGTTCCCAGAATCTTATCCTTCCCGTTCTAAACCACACGCTTTCCTTTGGCCCATTCTCACCGTACTATAAACAGCAGCAGAAGCTGGCAACTTCAAAGGTTGTTCAGGAACCCCTCTGAAGCTCTGCTTTTCATCAAGACTTCTACTTCATTAATGGCTTTGTCTAGCCCACAACTTCGGAGGTTTCTCTTAAACCACAGGGGATACTGCAACTACGAATTGAACAACAAGGCCACAAAAAACACCGTCGCGGTTAAGGGTGGGGGAGGCAGATGCTGCTCAGCCATTGCAATTGATGCCCCATCTTCTTTGACAGGTGTTTCCAGCATTAGATGGGGTTCTTCCCTTGTACAAGGTGTCCGCGAAGAGATGGAGGATGATGTCATTATTGTTCGGTCAGAGGATCTTGCTGGCTTCTCTTATGCAGCTGTTTTCGACGGCCATGCTGGTTTCTCTTCTGTCAAATTTCTCAGGTTTGGCTAATTGGTGCTGTGGCTTATTACATACGAACCATTAAGAGGGGGGGGGGGGGGGGAAGTGCATGAGCTTTTGATGCTCTGAGTCATCCGTACCATCTTTTGCAGCTTTCTAAATTGCTTCTCCATTTTTATTGAATCCTATAGGGAGTCCCTGGATGTATTCAGCGATCATCTAAGTGTCACTAATCAATCACTACTAAAAAAAATACTATTGTGTAATTTAACCTCACTTTTGTGCCAGTAACTTCATGGTTTTTCTGGGGTCTGCTACAGTTAACTTTCATGATTTCTACCGCCACATTACTTTTTACTGGGGAAAAATTGATGCTTAATTCAATGTACTGGTTCCAGAAATGAGTTGTACAAAGAATGCGTGGCAGCATTACAAGGTGGACTTTTACTGAGGGAGAAGGGGTTTGACACAGTAAAGAAGGCGTTAGAAGAGGCTTTTGAAAGTGCTGATATGAAACTCTTGAACTGGTAAACCCATGTATATTCCTGGTGAAGATTCTTACTGCCTCATTAATATCTGTGCGCTGGACATGTAATCTAGTCTCAATATGATTCTACATTGTATATGATTGCGTTGAAGGTTTAGACGCTGTTTGATTTTGTAAAGGCTTGAGACGAGCGCTGAGGAGAGGGATTCTGGCTCAACAGCTACTGTGATCCTAATTGGAGATGATACATTGTTCATCTCTCACGTTGGTGACTCATGCGTGGTAATCTCTTTGAAGTTTTCATGATTATGCTTTTCCATTTTTTTTGTGATGGTCTACTCATACCAAACAGATGCCAAACCCAGCTCTTTTCCTTTATCAATCACTTTGGTTTAGGTGCTGTCACGATCTGGAAAAGCAGAAGTGTTAACCAGTTCTCATCGTCCATATGGAAGCAACAAAGCGTCTCTCGAAGAAATCAGGCGTATCAGAGAAGCAGGTGGATGGGTGTGTTTTCTTTTCTTGAATTCTTAATTTGATTGCTTTTCTTTCAGTTGTATCAGCTATCTTGTCTAGAATGATTATGCTGCCCTTAGAATTAGATCTTTCTGCATTTGCTATGCTCTGAAAACCTTCACGGTGTTGCATCTGGAGTTAAATTCAATCTCTCAAAGGAAAAACTGATAAAGTCATGTCTTTTAATACCATTACTATGACAAGTCCTTACCAAGTGGGCATTTACTGGCCATGAAAATTCCAATATGCTACTCAAACAATGAATAACACTTCTTGAATTTCAATATGCTCCTTGTTCTTAGCTGACTAGGTACTTTAGGGGACAATTCTTTTTTGTTTTTTTGCTCAAGTCGATAACAACTGCTCAATACAAGTTGAGGGCTATACATTGAAGCTAATTCCATTTTAGTTTACAAACAATGCTAGACTTTTACCTTTTCCCTGGGATGGTGTGGAATAGTCTTGCCTTAATTTTTTCCCCTTCTTTTTGCTAACACAGTTTTTTTGCTATCCCTGTCGCAATTAAGCTCATTTTGTTCTGACATATCTTGCAATTTAAGAACAGGGCATAGAAATATAGACATAATGGAAATTTTTTATGTGGTGTCTACAGATAAGCAATGGCAGAATTTGTGGAGACATTGCAGTGTCACGTGCTTTTGGTGACGTGCGGTTTAAGACCAGGAAGAATGAGTATGTGTATTCCTCATTATCCTCAATTGACACAATGAATTTGTTGCCATGCCATATATCTACTTGAGAATCTAAGAGATCCTATGCATTATGAATCTTCTGTTAATATTTATACATGTTGCTGTGAAGGATGCTGGAGAAGGGAGTTGAGGAAGGCAGGTGGTCCCAAAAGTTCATTTCCAGGTACGTGATATTCCATTTTCTACAAACAAATGTATTTCGTTCACTTGTATTCTTATCACTGCTGAAACTAGAGTGGTGAATTTAGTTGTCCCTAAAGCGCTGGACCATAATAATTATGGTGGAATCTGTTTTTAACATTTTGTCTATTCAGTATCAACCACTTCTACAGTGCAGGAAAATCAAATTTTCTTGGGCTGTCCTTAGGTTATCCTTTGTTGAATTATTTTTATGCAAAAAATGATGAGTCAGATTGTGTTCCAAATGTGAGATAAATGCCAAATCAAATTTTTATAAGATGATTCCCTAGGTCATTACAGATTTGGTACTAAGGCTGGAAGCATGATAAATCTCAAATGCACTTCAAGAGAAGTTTTAAGTTAGACTTCCCTTAGGAAGTCCACTCTTGAATTAATAAAAAATTTGCAAACTTCTCTTTTATAATGCAAGAGCCTTTTGGGATTATTTCAGGATACAATTTACTGGAGACTTGGTTACAGCATGTCCTGATGTTTCCCAAGTTGCTTTGGAATCAGATGCTGAATGTGTAATATTAGCATCTGATGGATTGTGGGATTACGTAAACAGGTTTTATTCTTAGAGCTTTTGGAAGTTTGCCCTTTTGCCCTATCAAGCAATTAGTCATTCATTCATCTTCCTTATACTGGTAATCCAGTCATCCTGAAGAGCATAATGGTTGAGAAATTTTACGATGTTTCAGTTCAGATGCAGTTGATTTTGTTAGAAATCAACTTCGAGAACATGGAGATGTGCAGGTAAGGAATCTGCCATGGCTCCTTAATTGATCCCGCAGTACAGTAGGCATTATCTAATTTTCTTTGCTCTGATTACAGAGAGCTTGTGAAGCCCTTGCTCAGACGGCACTGGTAATAAACGGAAACTGCAACTCAAAAAAAAAAAAACTGTCTCCATGGTCGTTCTGAGATTCATTTGCTTTTATAGCTCTTATGCCGAAAATTTGCTAATTACTACAGGAACGAGGGTCACAAGATAACATCAGCATTGTGGTTGCTGATTTAGGGTACGTGCTGGCTCTTCTGGTTTATGTCCGTTCTCGTCATTTTGGTCTTCCTAACCTAGAAGTAAAATGAGATGGCTTTAAATGAGGGCGGTAACCAACCAAAAAATGTCTCTCTTGGTAGCTCTTACTAACTCATCTAGTACAAGGTTCAATGACACTAACCAGACAAGATTGATCACATGAAAGGTTAGTGCACGAAGCTGGCAAGAAGGCTATTCTTTCTTTTGGATGTTTCCCCTTAGAAAAGGGAACGTAATTTTGTTATATGAATCCTGGTTGTGGGATGTGTTGTTAGTAGATATTCCATACGACCGAAACCAACACTACTTCACTCTTGAGAAATTTTATATGCTCTTTTACTGATTATTGCTGTCCGTTTTTTCTATGTACAGACGGACCGACTGGGCAAGCGTGCCTCTCCGGCAGCAAAATTTGGTATATGAGTTGGCCCAAGCTTTGGCTACAATTGGCGCAGTTTCAATTGGGATATGGATGACATCTCAACTCAACTTGTAAAATGAAATGAAATTATCCACGCCTGTATTGTATACACGCCTGTATATTCCAACTGCTAACCGTCGACTCGTTTGGCTTATTATACTTATACGGAGTAATTACTTTTTTGCCTAATACTTGTGTAGATATAAGAGAATGATCCTACTCCCTAGCAAGAATTGGAATCCCATTTTCTAAGACCATATTACGTACACTATCTATTGCCTTTCTATTTTGACGGTTTTATGTTTAGTCAAGGCGCAACTTACTTGCAGTGTTCTAAAGACTTGCAAAACAAAACTAGACCCTCAAAGCCTGCGCATGCGTCATCATTTATTAAGCTCATATGAGCCCTCGAAGTCTCTGGCATTTTGCTGTCGCTTGATCAATTGCATTGTTGTTGGTCGGCGCATTTGGCTGCGCTCCATATATGCCCCTTGCTTTAATTTTCTTTTCTTTTTAGCCTTTTTCTTCCTCTTCATTTTTGTTTTTTTGCGGGGGTGGTAGAAAGGTTTTGCTAAACATCAAAATTAAGTAGGTCTTGAGAATGTCAGAAGAGGTCTCTCAATAATTAGGTCCTTTTGGTTTATCATACGCCGTGATTAGAGCTGATACGCGCACCATCTCTGAGCAAAACATTGTTGAATTTCTCAACACAAAAAAAAAAAAAAAAAAAACTTGGCGACGATGCCAAGCCTTAGCCTTTGTCAAGAGTGGATATGTAGTCCTAATTCTAGGATTGACCCAATTTGCAGTATTAGGGAATATTCTTGAGAAAAAGAGAATTTAAACACCACCATTATTATACATAGATTAAATGACCAAAATGGTCACTAAATTATTCAAAATGGTACGAATTGATCATAACTTTTTTTTTTTATCAAAAAGCTTTCTCGACTCTTTAAAATGAGCCTTTGGATCATTTTGACCAATTTACCAAGTAAACCAACCTAGAACAAGGCAAAACCAAAAAAAAAAAATTTTTGAACTACTGTTGTAGATTTTCAAGCATAAAAATGCCCCATTATGATTGACACAAATTTTTTTGAAAACAAAAAAGACCAATCTTTGGGGGTTAATCTATATCTTGGCCAAACTTCGTAGAAGCCAAGTGCAATTAATTAAAAAAAAAAATCAGTAACATCATCATCCTCTCCTTCTTCCTCCTCCGCATCCTCCTCCGCATCCACCACCTACCGCCACTATTGTACAATGACTAGATCTGGTCGTGGGGGAAGGAGGGGAGCGGTGACGAGGAAGGGACAATGGTAAAGAAGGAGGAGGAAGAAGGGAGTGATGGCGGAGGTGGAGGGGAGAAGTTGACAATTCATCAGCATTATACAATGCAATAACTAAGCACGTCTTAAAGCCTTGGTTTGTTAGTTTGTTTCATGATTTGCTTGTTCTCTGCGCTGAAGTTTTGCTGCTTGAGCTTGACCTCCCGGTATGCCCGTTCTGTTTCCCTCCTGCAAGATGGGGCCGGGGAAGGGAAGAACGCATCGGTGCATGTTTGCTTCGACTTGTGCTAATGCTCCCTGGTAGGTCGCAGTCCTCATAAATGGCGTGTTTCTTATGTAATTTGCCCATTGAATTTCGGGCTTTGCCATGTACACAGTACAGTGCCTCTGCAATTCACTTCGGGATCAATTGATTCCTGGAATTTTAGCTATGATCGATTATTCAACTTTAAACGTTGAAGAGCTTAAATCTTCTTCCTCAGAACTTCAAATTCCAATTAATTCAATAGAAAGTGATCCTAAAGATTCATTTTAGGAAAGTTCAGTGACTTTTTGACAAAAGAAAACAAAAACAGCGACCAACTCAAGTCATTTTAATAGTTTAGTGAAAATTTTGGCTATTTCCCCTTAATACATACAAATTACGTACTCTAAAACCCTTGACAAAAATAGAGAAGCACCGTGATTTCATGGATGCATGGAATTTTGGACTCTTTAATGTAATACTAGCTACTAATTTGATGATGCAACATGACGAAACACTTAATATTCACTGACACAGAGACAGAATTAACCCTGTCCCCATATCTTGTCGAATTTTTTTTAAAAAAAAAAAGGGATGGCATGCATTCTGAATATGAGGGGAAAAAAAAACACGAAATAGACCAATGAATACTCGATAACCAGCCAACGTGAAATGACCATTCCGCATCTCATGGCAACAACATCTCTATCCAATCCCAATCTCCAGCAAAAACAACGTTATACTTCTTTGGGTGGACCTTCAGCCAGTCTGAGAAGCGTTTTCAGACACTCCTCCGATGGCAAAATAAAAGAACCCGACCCTATGGTGCTGATGCATGAGTTAGTGACAACTTGAAGATCAGTTACTCCTCCAGCAAATTCTGAGAAGCACTTTCCGACACTCCTTCCATGGCAAAACGAAACGACCGGACCCTATGGTGCTGATGCACAAGTTAGTGACAACTTGAAGATCAGTTACTCCTCCAGCAAATTCTGAGAGCACTTTCAGACACTCCTTCCATGACAAAACGAAACGACCTGACCCTATGGTGCTGATGCATGAGTTAGTGACAACTTGAAGATCAGTTACTCCTCCAGCAAATTCTGAGAGGCACTTTCCGACACTCCTTCCATGGCAAAATGAAACAACCCAACCCTTTGGTGCTGATGCATGAGTTAGTGACAACTTGAAGATCAGTTACTCCTTTTATCAGTAGATGCCAATGACCCAACATGTTGAATGCAATCATGGACCCCGACTCAACACAACCATATGCATGCAGGGACTTCTAAGACGGAAAAAAATCATATACACCAGGGGTTGGAGCCTCAAACAGATATGGCACGAGTGATGGCCATCTTGGCCCACTCAGCTGATTCTTTAATCAAATGGTCATCTGAGGACAAACACTCATTTAAAAAGTCCTTGCATGAGAGAGATTGCTGAATCAAAGAACCAGCATTACTTCCCAATGTATCTGCCAAATCTCCCAGCACCCCAATAGCAGTTTTCATCACAACATCATCCCTGTAATAAAATAAGTGAGACATTTAGAAAGATCCAAAATTTAAGGACATCCAAATATAATATCAACTCAAAAATGGTGATGTAGAGAACACTAACATGTCTTTTTCCATGTAAATGCTATCCAGAAATTGCAATATGTGAGGTGCATAAGGAATCAACAGCTGAGTTTTAGGAGAGTTCTTAAATCCCTGAAATATCCCTGAGTATGCCTCTAAGATTCCATTCCTCAACAGATTGGTATACTCAATCATTTCGTCATCAGCGCCTGATGTGTGGGCAGACAATTCGGCTGCGCTCTGGAGCATAGGCATGGCATACATCAAGTACTTTTCAAAATTCTCTCCTATAGCCAGAGCTATGTCACCAAAGCATGAAAAGATAGGAGGTTTCACAGATCGGTGTAACTGATTGCTCGAAAGGTCTTTCAGAAGCTGGGTCATTATTCCATCACAATAAGGCAGTACTTTGTCATCCAACGCCCTGCATATATCACCCACAACACCGACAGTGACAGCACAGACCTGATACTCCTCAAAATTTTGAAGACCCATTTCCAAATATTTGTAAAGCTCAGGCATGTACTTTGCAAAATCTGGGCCAGTTGCATGGGCAACAGCTCCAATGGCAAGCATAGCTTCCTCATGCACAGTTGCACTTCTACAAGCAAACACCCGAAGGAAGAGATTCATTATCTGATCTGCAAACTGCATGAACGCATACTTTGCTGGCTCAGATGCACCAAGTTTCTGAGTAATGACCTGTAAGCACCCACAAAGTAGGCCCTGTAACTCGTTCTGCTTCTCTCTCCCGTCAGAAGAAAGCTTCTCTGCTTCCAGGGTTTGGTGAAGCTTCGTCATAATGATAGGAACTAACTGCAACACCATTGAAGCTGTCTCGTCCGTGGAACACCTCACCACTTCGTTCAGTGTCTCATAAGCAGCAGTCCTCAGTCGTGACTCCCCAGCATCTTCCCTGTCAGTGACATGAAGGAGGGATTTAACAATTTCCTGGAAAAAAGGAGTTATTGGAGATGTGGACCCAATATCCTCATAACCCTGCACAAGGAAATAGAGAGCACCACAGGCCTTCTCAGCGACATTGGGAGCATCATTCATGCTCTGAAGCAGAACCGTGACAATCTGTTGACAATTTGCAGGGGTAATAATGGGAGTCTCTACAGTTGAACCATGAAGAAATTCAAATATTCTACCAAGTGTCCATGCCGTCGTATCCTTAACATGACTATTAGGGTCATTTGTGAGTGCAGTAAGCATGAAATTTAGAGCAACATTGACGATGGAGGTCAACTTATCAGGCGATGGACCCTCCAGTATGGAACCAAAGGCATATGTGGCAGCCTCTCTCTGTCTCCAATCTGGCTTTGTTATGTTTTCTTCTATAAATGGCATGACTAGCGGGACAATATCATCACCAACAGTGCGAGCAACCAAACCAAGGCACGTACCACCAGCCATAGCAAGATTCCAAGCACCCTCATCCAGATCCTGATCTTCTTCTTGCTTTAAAAGTGTCTCTAACAGCATAGGTACAAGAGCAGGGAGAGCCTGCTTGATGAAATAATAGCATGGGACATCTGAGTCTGCAGTAAAATCACCCCCATATTCTTCCAAAATATCTATCTCCTCGTCACATATTGAGCTCCAGAGTTCAATAGCTTGTAGAGCAACGGGCTCCTCATCTTCCCTGACAGCCTTGGCCGTGATATTGAAAATATCCTGGATGTATGGAGCTAACTTCTCGTAGTATGTAGAGGCAATCGAGACCAGACATTCAAAAGCAGCCTGTCGGATTTTGACATCAGGACACAAAGTAGCCTCACACACAACTCTCATGATATAATCACGCTCCATATCATTGGAAAAGTTTGCGTGAGAAAATCCAAGAGCATTATACAATGCTCTGGTAGCTGCAAGCCTGACATCATTATTCACCTCATTTGCATTCATACCTTGGACAACAGCTGTCAGTATTTTATTCACTTGATCTTGGTCTACCACATCCGGAGAAACTTCTTCGCACAAATACCCGAGAGTTTCCAAGGTGGCTTGCTTCACATGAGCGGGGACCTGGTGAATGTTTGACAGAAGTGAACCTATCAATTCAGGCCACTGTTTCTGAGGCAACTCAATGGCTGCAACTTTTGCGATGACCTGTGAAGCCGTAGAGTGAGCATCATGCACGGGCGAGGAAAGCGTCTGTAATAAGCATGCTTTTATCTGAGTTTTCACACCCATATCTAGTGCTAACCATCTTTGGACAAGCTCATATTTCCTATGTTGCTCCTTAGCATCCAAAGCATTTTTAAGGATCAAACCAGCTAGTTTACGGCTATCAACTGGTTTGTCCTCACCAGCAAGTTCTCCAGAAAGAGACAATAAGAACACAGAAAGATTTTGCTCCTGAAACTGCCTCAACGACTCTTCTGCATGTTTACGAACAGTTGAATCCACTGATTGTGCATTTAGGAGGACTTGGGTAACTTCCATTGCCATATTACCTCTGCAGACAATTATAAACTTCATTTATTAGACATTCACAATGAACATTGCGGATGATCTAATTGATATGCAACCCCAATGCGAAAAGGTTAAATACAACACTAACAGCACAAAAGAAGACCATGCAAATACTTGGGCAGACATGATACTGCAACGAGCTCCGAGCAGGAAATGGGAATATCAGGAAGAGGTTGTAAGAAAACATAGCTGATGCATCACAAAAAAATGAAAAAGCAAAAAATAGAGGCAAAAGGACACACATAACCGTGGACTTACATATCATATTCCCGGGATACCGGCACCACCTTAAGAGTTTAACAAAATATAAAGATGAACTTACCTTCCACAAAACTATCAGGTGAAAATCATGCAGCTCGTAACAATGTCTCCTAGATCAAACTGATCAGCCCAGACAAGAAATGTAAAAGCCCAGGGCAAAGCTAATACCCAACCAACTGGAATAAGTAGGACAAATCATTAACGTAACCAAACAGGTTGGCTCTACACTCAATCTAGATATTGAATACCCACAAAGAGACAGAAGCATAATAACAAAGCTAACGCATTGATCTTCCAAGGCATTAGATACATAAACACATCAAATTCAAACATCAGGACGAGCTTAAGAGAGAGTAAAGTCAAACTAATTCTACTGATCCTGAAGCCAAGTCAAAATCAAGCCGGCGGTGAAACTAATCAGCAACAGGAACAAAATCGATTCCATCAATTGCAAAGCTGAAGCCTATAGACTAATTCCCCGAATCCCGCCTAAGTCAAAAAATATCCAAGTGAACTCTAAGACCTTAACTCGTGATTTACATACAAATAAAAGCCAACCGATCTAACAAAAGTCGACAGTTTAACCAATTAGCTGAAAGCAAAATGGAAGTTGCTTCAGCGTACACAGATATAACAATTAACAAAAGAAAAATGAAAACAGACTGGCGCAGATTGGGATTTCCAGAATACAACAGTAATTAAAATAAAAGGCAAAACTTATAAAGCATTTAAAAAGAGGGAAAAAAACAGAGATCGAGCATTGAGTTGGCTTAAGAAAAGGTACTTAAAATCCGAGAAAAAGAAGTAAATCCATTGAGAAATTAGCAAGAAGGTGAAGAAATTTACCTCAAGGCGTGAATCGTTGAAATGACAGAGAGAGTGTGGGTGTGAGAGAATCACACTTCGTTCAGTCGATGATAATGAAACAAAAGCGGCGCTGTGAAACCCTAAGAGAGAGAAAGAGAAAAAAGAGGGGAAGGGCGCGGATGTCAAGCTGCAGTTGAATTATGCAAATCTTTTAATATATTCTGGGGTTGGGGGGCGCCTTAATTATTTCCTTTTAAATATTCTTAAATTTGTAATGGGGAATTATTATTGGCTGCTGCTGTCCAAACCAGCCTTTTTTTTTTTATTTTTAAAATAAATCAACTATCGCCTGATGCCGGGGGGTGGACCCACGTACTCAACTGTTTAAACTCTTTTTCCTTCCCCCCTGCTTCCTCTTTTCTTATTTTCCGTCTTGCCAAAAGAATAAAACAAAAAATACTACTCACCTTTTTTTTTTTTTTTGTACCAACAAAGATGTGAAAAGATAAAAGGGATCAATCTATTCGGGAACGTAGAATAGCGATCAAAGTTTAATACAGCAGAATAACTTAGGCATAAAACTGAAAATTGGAAGGAGAACACCAAAATTTACGTAGCACTATATAATCTGAATTTGACATTTCCAAAAAAAAAATAATAATTTGAGCTTGGATAAGATATTTCTACATTGTATATAATACAATTCCATACAAAAAATTATAAAGACTCTGTTGTATCTTTCCCATCATTAGATTAATGAACAAAGATTTATAGAGGTAACAAGGCTTTCAATTTGGAAAGCACGTTTTTTCATAAATATATTTTTTAATTAATTTTTTTATTTCACATACATCAAATCGTTATAGTATATTTTTCTACAAAAACTCAAAAAAAAAAATCCAAACGGTCATGAACATAAGAATGTGCTTAATTCACGGGAAATTTTCTTGTTACGTTACCGTTTTAAATATTTGATAATTTTGATCAAGTTAACTAACTGATAATGCCCGGAAAAGATTTTCTTCTTTTTGTATTTTCATTTTGGGAGTGTGAGAAATAAATTATCAATGTCAGATAAAAATGCATTAACTTCAAAAAATTCTGCAACACTTTCTGGAGGTTTTTTTCTTCAAGCCTCTCCTGAAATTAAAAAGTGACTTTTTTTTTAAGCAAAGTAAAGTTCATCAGCTTAAAATTTATAATACCCATCTCACCACCCAATTATTAATTAACCTTAGCCTCAACAGTTAGAACATGAAAGTAACCACAATTAGGGCATCCGTAATTGTTCCAACGTTATTTTTCAGACGCATATGACATATGAGTCCTTTTGGCTTATATGGTGATTAATTGTTTAGCTCTCTTTTTTTGGATAAGTTTACAGGATTGCATTCCCAAACATGATCCGCTCATTTCAACAAGTCATAAAACAAGAGATATCTTATACGTGTATCCATCTTCGAGGCAGCCTTGTTTGGACAGCTATTTTCTACCGAAAAATTGCGTCATTTTTCGTGATCACATTTCTCTATTACCTTTTTTCCTCACATATATCAAATCGTTACAGTAATTTTTCTACAAAAAATCCTAGAAAATGCAATCCAAACACAACCGGAATATTTTTTTAAAACATTTCAGCAATATCAGTTAAACTATTATCTTTTCTGTTTGATTTAAGAATTTTTGTTTTGTAATCCCAATGTAGCACGCAGTATTTTGTCATCCTTTTTCACGCCTGCACTGTGATTTCTCCGCATAATCGCACCCTTTATAAGATGAACAAACGAACTCTACATGGTTTGATGCCTTCAAATTTCCTTTTATTCCTTAAGCAGAATGTTTGTTATAGAGAACAAAAACCCTTTATATATATATATATATATATATATATATATATATATATATATATATATATAAAGAGAAAGAGGTGAAATTTAAGGAGCGCATAGGGAAAAAGAGAAGTTAAACCCAAAACCTTGACCTTAAGACACTAGACCAATACCCCTTCGGTAAATTCCATAAAGAAAAAGAACCCTTGTTTATTCTTACTATATAAAACGGAACATAATATAAGTATTTAACACAGAACACAAGCATTATTATGCAGGTGTGGCATTCCCGTGACATGCCTACACCAAGCTGTTGCAAACTCACATTAATTAACCGGACAAAAATCCCCGTGGAATTGGGTGCCGTCTCTTCAAGCAAGACATGCAGGAGATACCAGATATGTAGGAAACTCAAGGATTTTTGTTGCCACCTCCGCCTGGTTTCTTCCCTCTTGGGTCATGCTTAGGATTAGGCCCTGCATAGTCATAATCCAACGCTACATCCAGGACCTGAACCTTTCTGTTGTTCCCGATCACAACTCCATCCTGCAACGAATTTAACCCCCAAAAAAAAAAAAAAAAAATTGCAGCAAAATGAATCAGTTAGCAGATATGGACTGCTCAGGTAATTCTAATTTCTGAGGTGCCGATAGAATCTCAACCCTTTCTTTCTCATGCCATGTCTTATTGATTAATTTCCCTCTCCGTCATGCTTGCCATTTCATTAGGACGTCAAAAGGGTCTCACGTACGGATGTGAGATACCACAATCCTTTGCAATAGGACTAAAAACAGCGCATACCACTATATATGGGTGGCTGATCCTCAAAATGGCAACATTAATAAAACCAGCAAACACAATATCTACCTTGTCAGCTGAGTACATGTGATTCACGCCATTGCTGAAGCCTTCAACCTTACCTATAAAGGACAATTAACAAGAATTTGCATTATCAGTTTGGGGTTAGAAATTGGTGTAACCAAAAAGGAGGGACTTGTAAAAGCTTCATCTTAATTTGTCTCTACTCCGTACTCTATAGCCTAAATGCACAATGGTGAGCTATAGCTTACCTGAAGACAGGAGATTGAGTATTAAAAGATAGACTAGAAGAGAGGTGCTGATCCTGAGCTGCATTGCTATAGTTACATGTACTATTAAACCGAACGTTACCTATGGTTCTTATCTTTCTTAGGATGAGAAGGGAGGGCAGGAGGAAGGAGAGGTCCCCTTTTATCCTTTTCTGGGAGTTTGGAAAATGGCCATCAAAAGGGCTTCTGGATTTGTGGTGCACCCCACCAAACAGAAAAACGATAATGGTGAGATGCATTACCCATATTCCACGTCCTGGAAGTCAACTACACTATTTCACTTTACATACAAATAGAAGCAACATTATGGGCACTTGGATCACTCTTTATGCATGGATCAAATGTACCATTTTCAGCCTCTAGTACTACTTTTGTTGTCTGGCTGAAAGTTTTGTGCCCCCAGTTTTGATAAGTAAACTAACATTTCTTATTTAATAGCAGCATACGGTGCATGTATAGCTGTAGGTAACTCCGATTGAATGTCAATCCATAGATCACATCGTATATAGAGCTCTTTTCTGCTCCCTCCCTCCCTCCTTTTTTTGTTTTTGTTCTCTTTGGAGGGGATCCTTTCTGCTTTTGTTCCAAGGTACGACAGCTAAGACCATGAAAAGGAAAAAAAAAAAAAAATGGATGATCCAATGCACTGCATAACTTTATTTTTGCCTCATCATGAGTTAAGAAAAATTGAAATTGATCTGTTGTGGTGCACGCTCAAAAGTTTAGGCTTCCGTCACCCTGTGAAATCAATAGAAAGGAGACAGAAATGGACAATGACCTACTTGTGAAATCAATGTGAAGGATTTTTGAAGATTGAAATGTGGTACAACATTAGTGGGAGCACTAGGAAAAAGGCAGACAAACGCAGATGCATCTCTGGACTCTTTTAACATAATTACTGCACTAAAATCCTTTTTAATCATTCATTAACACCTAGGAACGAAATCAAAATCTATTGTTGGGAGACCAAATGTTGGAAATGATTGTGAATTTTTTGGGTCTAATGATTTACTAATTAAAGAATTAAACCTCTGTTACCACAATGGTTCTACTTTGTCGGGAAAACAAGAAAGATAAACAGTGGCCCTTTTCATACAACACCAAACATCGTTTCTTGCTAAATAGAGATGCCTTCTTCGTGATAAATCAACAAATTAGACGATGTAACACATAGAAACCTAAATAAATAAGATGCCAATCCAATCAGAAGGCAGCGGTAGTGACGTAGATCTTGCGTTTGACAATCCACAATGTCATTGCTCATTGCAGCAGTTCTAGTCACTAACTGATACAATCTTCTTCTTCTATGATAAACACGCTTATAAAGCATAGGTACGAACGAAGACCATACCTTTAGATTTGCCCGGCAGTATTGTTCCGTCAACTCGATTCGAAATGCGAGAGCTTTCACCATTACTCCATCGATGAGCACAAACTGTTTTTTTGACCCCAAAAAAAAAAAAGAGTACAAAACTGTTCGAATTTCAACCGTTTCAAGACTGGCCTTTCCCTCAAAAAAAAAAAAAAAAAGAGTTGGTGGATTACAACGAGGCCGGAGACCAGCTCGACGTCGTGCATCTGGTGCCCTTCATTCGGTCTGCCTAGCTTCACTAAACTAAGAATAACCTGCTGTTGGAAAAGGCGGCCTGAACAATGCTAACACTTGAACACTTGAGTCGTGCTTGAAAGCACTGTCCTAAGAAACTATTTCAGAGTATTGAAACGTTTCCCCAGGATTAAACAAGTCTTCCTCTAATTTGTAAGAGGGATGTAGAACCAGCAAAATATGAAACAAAACCAGCAGGTGAAATAAGAATATTAAGAAGAGCAGATGGAGAAAGGGAGGAGAGAATTTGCGAAGCATAGACTTCGTTCTTCTGTGTGTAAATGAACCTGACAAATGGTTCTATTTATAGGCTTTCATGGTATAGGGTGCGGAATCGGATAGAAGGTAAAAAGCTGATTTTCCGCACGAATGGGCGTGCAAACTATTGCGCAACTTAAGGGCTAAGGCTGAAGTAGTCATACTAGTCTATCTTCTGTTGGCAGTGGTTGGAATGGGTCAGACCATCAGGAAGGCTTTTTTTGACCGATCTTATCAAGATGCCATACAATTGGACTTCTTGCTTTTTGTCTTTTAGTCCTTTATCAAAACCTTAACTTTGAAATTTTCTCCCTCAATAATAGGAACAAAACATTTCTGATGAAAGTTTATCGGATAAAACTCTTATCCGATTACTAACAAACATAAGAAAAAATCTTTTGAAATATCTTTTTTTTTCAACAATCTCCCACCTATTTCAAAAGAGTATGAATATCTGCTGGATTTGTTTGAGCTCAATGTAATCAGTTTGGTGTCTTTTGAACTATGAACCAAACTTAAATTGATGAAATATGTCTTACAGAATTATTGGTGAAAAATATCTTTCTATGAACCAATAATTATTATTGTATGACAGAGATCTTATCAATCACATTATAACCCATAGTTTTGCTGTTCAATGCAGTTTTGCGCCTTAGGCCATGCGCCTGCCTGGGTATTCATGAGAGTTCTAAAGATTTGGCCCAAAAAAAATCTTATAGGAGCGGCCCCACTCCACTCTCATATAGGTGAATTTATCAAGTGTATACTGCTATAGATACACCTCCCTAAAGGGATATAAATTCATTAAGAGTATTAAACTCAGCCTCACAATTACTGGCAGTCAGAGCACTTCTTTTCGAAGGGACTTAAATTTCAAGTGCTTTACTGTCAATATCGACTTGTTATTACCCATATGAACCTATTTCATGGGATCACCAATCACATAGGTTGGGTTACCATCTCTATTGACAACCGTTGGCCTAAGTCCCATCTCCCTTGTAGTTTGAAGAATTAATTTTCTTCCTACAGGTTTAGTCAGAGGATCGGCCAAATTCAACTCTGACTTCACAAAATCAATGGAAATAATTCCATCTCTAAGCAGCTGCTTTACGACATCATGTCTCAATCTCATGTGTCGACTTTTACAATTATAAGATTTATTTTTTGCAATAGCAATTGCCGCTTGACAATCACAGTCTATAGACACAGGAGGCAACAGTTCCTTAATAGGAGGAATATTGGCTAAGAAATTTCTTAACCAATCTGCCTCAGAACCAGTCAACTCCAGAGCTATGAACTCCGATTCCATAGTTGACCGAGCAATGATTGTCTGTCTGGCTGACTTCCATGCTACTGCACCACCACCAAGGGTGAACACATAACCACTAGTGGATTTTGTATCATTTGAATCAGAGATCCAATTAGCATCACTGTAACCCTCTAATACAGTGGGAAATCCACTATACAGGATACCAAAATTCATGGTACCTCTCAAATATTTCATTAGTCTGACTAATGCAAACCAATGCTCACGATTGGGATTGTGAGTATATCTACTCAGTCTACATACAGCATAAGCTATATCCGATCTAGTGAAATTCATCAGATGCATCAGACTCCCAATAATCTGAGCATATTTAGACTGAGCAATTGGGTCACCATTATTTTTCTTTAACTGAGTGTTAGCGTCATAAGGAGTACTAACAGGTGTCACATCATAATTTTCAAACTTCCTAAGAAGTCTCTCTGTATAATGTTCTTGTGTCAACATTATACCATCACCTTTCCTTATGATTTTAACACCCAATATTATTTTGGCTTCACCCAAATCTTTCATATCAAAATTAGAAGACAAAAAATATTTAGTACTATTTACAATATCTAGACTAGTACCAAATATAAGCATGTCATCCACATATAAACTGATTATCACATATTGATCATTTATAATTTTGACATATACACATTTATCCACTTCTACAGATGAAAATCCATCTTTCATCAATACTTGATCAAATTTCTCATGCCACTGTTTAGGAGCTTGTTTTAGGCCATAAAGAGATTTAATTAGTTTACAAACCTTATTTTCTTGTCCAGATACAATACATCCCTCAGGTTGAAACATATAAATTTCTTCTTCTAAATCACCATTTAAAAAAGCTGTTTTGACATCCATTTGATGAATAACAAGTTTATGGATAGAAGCTAAAGCAAATAAAACTCGAATAGATGCAATTCTAGTTACTGGTGCAAATGTATCAAAATAATCAATATTTTGTTTTTGAGAAAATCCTTTTGCTACTAAACGAGCTTTGTACTTTTCTATAGAGCCATCAGAGTTATATTTTCTTTTAAAAATCCATTTGCACCCAATAGGTTTTGCACCAGGAGGTAAGTCTACCAAAATCCAAGTTTTATTTGTCAAGATAGAATCAATTTCAGATTTAATTGCTTCTTTCCAAAATTTACACTCAGGAGAAGAAATAGCATCGGAGTATGTTAAAGGATCATTATCAACAAGAAAGGTTTGGAATTCATTTCCAAATGAAAATTCTTTTCTTGGCCTTTTGCTCCTTCTTAATTCCTCAATTGGAATAATTTCCTTATTTATTTCAACAGGTGCATGAGAAATTTTACTAGACAGTGGAAAAATATGTTCAAAAAATTCAGCATTCTTTGTCTCAATAATTGTATTACAATCAAGTATATCACTTCTTAACACAAGAAATCTATATGCAGCACTATGTTCAGCATATCCAATAAACATACAATCAGAAGTTTTAGAACCTATTTTCCTTTTCTTAGGTTCAGGCAACAAGACTTTAGCAAGACACCCCCAAACTTTTAAATATTTCAAATTTGGTTTATAATTTTTCCATAACTCATAAGGTGTTTTGCCAGTCTTTTTATGTGGGATTCTATTTTGTAAGTGACATGCAGATAATATAGCTTCTCCCCATAAATTATCTGTAGCATGAGAACTAATTAACATAGAGTTCATCATTTCTTTTAACGTTCTATTTTTCCTTTCAGCTACTCCATTAGATTCTGGAGAATAAGGTGGAGTTATTTCATGTATTATGCCTTCCTGTTCACAAAGGTTATCTAAAGTTAAATATTCTCCACCCCTATCTGATCTAATTCTTTTCTACTTCAGACTTATAGGATAAAAAGGCATTATAAGTATCATCTTTATTTCTAAGTAAATAAACTTTGGTATATCTAGAATAGTCATCTATAAATGTGACATAATACCTTTTCCCACCTCTAGTCATTGTTTGTTTTAAATCACCTAAATCAGTATGAATTAAATTTAATAATTCAGTTTCTCTATGGACAGTTATACAACTTTTCTTTGTTATTTTAGCTTCCGCACATATTTCACATTTGCCCATATTATCATTAATACCAGAAATTAGGCCACATGATTGCATTTTCTTTATATACCCAATATTAACATGTCCTAATCTAGCATGCCATAAAGAAATGGAATCAACAATATAAGCAGAAGAAGATACATTTTCATTGATCACATTGGAAATATTAAGTACAAAAAGTCCCTGATTACAATAGCCCTTGCCCACAAATACATTATTTTTGGTCATTATAATCTTTCCAGATTCAAATGACACTTTCACTCCAACTTTTCCTAGCAATGCTACGGAAACCAGATTTGCCCGAATGTTAGGCACATGCAGCACATCATTGAGAG